CGGCAGTGCTTGAGTGGGACCCGTAAGCGTCGTATGTCGTGTTGTGGGTTGAGGTGTCTTTTGCCTGTAGAGGAATGTTGATTGTTGCTTTTTCCCGTTTCACGCGCTGATGGCGCTGCAAAGTACTAGTCCCCGAATAGTTGAAGGTGTCCATCCCCTCTCCAAGCTTGACAAGAAAGTTTTGCGCAGATATGGTAAGAGCGTATAGGTTGTGGTGGGGTGGGGTGGAAGGGGGTCGTGTTATCACCACCATTTCACCCACCTCGATGCTGTACCCTGCCCGTGGTTCAGACAATTTTTGACAACAGCACCTACAGAGCACTTTTTTGCAATAAGCGATGATAATCCTGATGATGGGGCTTGTACTACCGTTTGGCACGAAAATTCTAGACAGAACCGCTAGCAGTCTCAAGGGTGGGTCTTAAATTTACACTTGTTTTTGTCAACAACATCTGCCATCCCTCCGGTACCAATTATTTGGTACCACGCTCGTTTGAATGAGTGAACACCTGTGTATCACATGTGACCTTCGCAAATCGCTGTAAAATACCACTATGACTCTGAATGGAAGTAGAATGCATGGCGTATGCCAAGAAGCGTTATCCATTACGCTCCCAGGCCACTCATACCCTCCTCAGCCATGGCATTTGTGCCATAGCCTTGTAGCTCTCACTCGTCTAATGTGATGAGCTTGTTAGCCGATATCGGCAGTGAACCGCAAGCTGAAAGCTTTTTCATGTTTTACGTTGTTTTAGTATGAGCACTGTACTGTAACTATTAGCAATGATCCTGAGCAGGCTCCTAAGTACTACCTGCTTTCCTCATTAGTAGGTCATCCTCCCATGGAGGTAGAATGAAGTGACGTGTCAATAAGGATGATGGTAAGCCTGACTCCGCCCTTGCAATAAGCGTGGATTCTGTCATTAAAGTTCTGTACAGTAACTAATATCACTGGAAGGATCTGAGCACATCTCTATGAGCTCTCACCAAATCGATAGGTTTCGGTCATATGGAGCCTTTATGTACCGTTGATTTCAGGCACATATGAGAAAGTTGAGGATGAGGAAGAGGAAGTCTATGAAACTGTCAACGTATTCAAACTGAAGCAATTCTTGCCAAACTTACGCGTGGTGAACCTGTGGGGAGTGAGTTTCCAAAAATTACCTGAGCGGTTTCTCCTTCTGTGCTTCTCTTTTCCATCGCGGATATATATCACTCCTAAAACGTCGTGATTTTAGTTCTTTATATAAACGACGACCATTTTATGCGATCTCTTACGAATTGTGCCACGTTGAGTGCTCTTTGCTTTAATTAGCATGACTAAGTGTTTGTTTTTTTCAAAATGGTTTGTTTAATATATTGCAGCAGAGCGCCGAGGCTTTGATATAAAGCATGCTCATCAGGTGTTATTGGTTGGCCGATAAGTATGGCTTTTTTCTTATCTCAACTTTCTATAAGAAACAGTGAGAATCGTTCCATGAGAGTTCTATCTATTAGACAGTAACGTTCCCGCTTCCATAGCAGGTAAAGGTATTGCGGTTCATATTATTTCTTGAATTTCTGACGTCTTTTGTTCACCATTACAAGATGGAGTGTCGTGTCGACCCAAAAGTGGCTTTTTGACAACAATTTTTGCACTTTATCTCGGCTCTCAAATTACAGAAGAAGCTTTAAAAATTGTGATCAAGGTAACTGATCCCTACGGCAGCTTGAAGTTGGTTCAAGCGATTAGTAGGTGGGAATTCGGACCTTGTAAATGTGCATTGCATGGGATGCCCTCTTGGGGACCGACTGCCTGCAGAACCTACCCCCTAATTTTCGAACGTCCAACATCAACTGAGGGTAATGCTTAGTAGTGAAAAGGACATTCTAGAACCTATGACGATTCCTCATTCTTAGGTATGAACTCCCATGAACAAGGTGATTCATTAGGCTCTCACTTTGACGCAATAGGGCACTAGGTTCAATGCTTGCCTGTGAGGTTGCCGCATAGGGCAAGGAATTCTCTGTAGAATAGTATCAAATTCAGTAGCGGAACTTCTCACCTTTAGCGCGACATTTCATTTGAGAAAAAAACGCTATTATTTATGGGCCAACCCAATAGTTGATTCATCGCGTTGCAGCACTTCCAAGCTAATCGAACCCTGATGGAAAGCCGCGTACGCAACTCGTAAAATCGTTTTCGACGCGCACCCGAAACTCGGATTTCCTGATCCTCATCCCGAAAAGTCGCAAATCAGCGAGGCAGAGTACTCGCACTATAAATTACCGAGGTTCTGCAGGTAAAACATATCTAAAACAGCATCCGGTTCCCAGGAGCTCCAGGAAACTTACCCAATAGTCAAGATAGGGATCACTTCTAGGAACCTTCCCTTATGGGCACTTTTATGGAATTTAAAGATTTGCCAGCTGTAAAAAAATTTGCAACTTTGAAATATGCAACTTTTGGCGGAATCTTCATGGCGTTTATCTTTGACAGCCTTACTTTAAAAGTATTCCTTGCAAGAAGAAACGGTATCCCCTTCAAAGATCATTCATAAAGTCAGTAAACATATTCTGGTGTTGAATTCAGCTTGAGCATTCGGCTACATCTTACCCTATACTTTGCTTCTCAACAGGATAGGGTAGGAGAGAAGGGCTAGAGCGTCAGGCGTCGATATATTTTCGAGATGGCTTCCCCATCAGGGTACAGCATCGTTGTGTGAAACGCATACTTAAACACATGCGGGGGTCGTACTTTTTCTCTGGGAAGGGGGATCGTATTTGGTCGTTGGGAGAGAGGGGGTCGTATGTGCCTTTGAGAGAAATTTGTCGCGTTGGTTTTCCAGTTGTTGACTTTTTGCGTGATTTTTCCTGTTTCATGTGCACTACCCCCCCACCCCGCTTGACAGCATAGTTTTTGGGGAAAACTGGGTAAATTTCCGAGAAACTTCGGAAAAAGTGGTATCAAGTTGGAGAAATTCTCCCGTTTCACACTAGCTATACACCCCCCCCCACGCTCGATCCCAAAAATTTTCAGGTGAAAAATTGGAAATGGGGGAAGCTTGTAGGTAGGTGTTCGGGAAGGGGGGGGGTCGTAGCGAGACCCCCCCTTCAGGTGGGGAGGTCGTACCCACACCACCGCCTCACACCCAAACGCCTCCCTTCGGAGCGTGTTGGCTTTCAAAGCGCAGTCACAAACGTCTACCAACGCGCAAACTAGTAATCTTGTAAGCGAGTCCTGGAGATTAATTAACGGTGCAGTTTGGTTTGGCTGGCATTTTGCTAGTTTTCATCAATCACTGCCTATGCTTCTTGTGCAGACTCTTGCAAAGCTATGCAAGAGCATGAGCTTCGCTCACACTTTACACGAGACTACGGTCGACATTATACGTGCATTTCATCAGGAACCAACAGCAGAAGCTAGCGAAAAAGCAAGATCCCAGCTGAACAGCACCTATTGATCTAATACAGCATCGATATAAAATCACTGCCATGGCGGATACTCCCAGATTTGACATCGAATCTAACGCATAACTTACAACTACGCAACGGCCCCCCTCTAGCAAAAGTTGATATCGTCCACTAGTTTCTGTTTCTCATTCCTACTTTTGTTCTTCTTTTTAGCTAACTCGCAAACCAATTTTGCTTTTTTACTTAAGGTGACCGGATCATGTCTAAGGCTGGTACTGCAACGCTGTAGAAAGCTGAAATCGCTTTTTCTTGCTCATACAAGTGAGTTTTTATTTCATTTTGAGCTGTTTATGTTACTTCTACTAGGTCATCCCAGGCAAAAATGTGGAGACATATAGACGAATGGCAGGAAAGCAAAGGGATAGGGCAGTGAGCTACTATACCATTTGGAAGCTAGTACCTTGAGCTATGTAGCTGTGAAATTTGGCAAACCTGGTTACATAAGAAGTCCTTAAAAAGTTGAGAAAAAGCCCGAGTGTCGAAAATCAGCGCCGGA